AGAAAGATTGTCGCAAGAATTAGGATAACTGCCCGCGATCGATTCACGTAGTATGCCGGTTCGGTCGTGGTGATCGTTGCCCGAGTTCGATTTGTCCAGAAGGTGGTTGGGTCTTCAGGCATGGCCAAGGATGATTTCGTAAGATTGTATGAGTCCATTCCCACTTCCCAAACAGTATTGAAAGCGGCGGTGATCCTTCTTGAGAACATGTTAATATCGATGTCTTTCTAGATTTGAGCTTTCTGATTGGCGTAAACGTTTTCGTCGTTAGCAATGTAATTGTCGGTTGCCGATGAACTGGCCACCACCATTTGTGTCAAATGCGACCACTGCCCCATGGCATTTTCTAACGCAGTGAATCGACGGTAGTGTTCACCTGCTTCCATCGGCGGGATATCTCGTATTTGACGCTGTCGCTGCGGCGCACAACCTTGCGCTGTACATCTGAAGCTGGTTCGGAGGTTGATCGTAGCAGTAGTGCAGTTGAAGACGGAACAAACGGAGAGATTCTCTGGGTCTCCTTGGCTTGTGTAGAGAAGATATGCGGTTTCGTAGATAGCGGCTTTCTGTAGGGGTGGGATTTGGGTAACGTCGGCCGACAATGATAATTTGGTCTCGAAACTTGGTCGTCGATCTGACCACGTGTAATTCTTTCCCCAGAAAACATGGCCGAGGTTGCCACCAGGAAACGTAATCTTCCCAAGGTCTTCTCGCGATGCCCCCGTCCGTAAACATAGGGCAATTGAGACTGATGTAGTTGGAGTCCAAGTCGAAATCGTATTGTGTTGAGTCGCCACTCAAGTTTAGGCCTTGCATATTAATCCCTCTAAGTGACGTATAGTAGTCCCTCCCGGACTCAAGAGCATTGTTGTCAATCTCAAGCCAGGTCCCTTCAGCATCTTGTGTCGGATCCAAGGGCCATTGTGGGATTTTCGGTCGTCCCCATAAATCCATAGACGCCTGCTGTTGCTTTCTAGGCGAGAGGAGACTGGCAGAATAAAATGCTGGGACAATGTCCGCCGCTTGTACATCGTACCAGTCCATGTCGAAATAATTGGAATGCTGATGTGCCCTGTTGTCGTAGAATACTGAGCGTTAGTATGTAGAAACCTTCCCGTCAATATGGAGTAGTTTCAGCAGGCTTTGACCGACCAAGGGCGACATTGCCCAACTGAACAAAATAAGAGCTCCTAGTAACAACCGCGCCCGGACAATTTTTAATCGCTCTAGAGCGCTGGCAAAGCTTTGGCTGCCGACAATTTGCTCCAGTGATGATACTGTGATACCGCCTGGTCGTTCAAGATGCCAGCGAGCAACGTTCCTATAGAATCTGGCTACCACCATGGCGAACAGAATGGGATGGATGTTTGGGCCGAGGCGTGTTATCTCTTCGAGCCTCACACCATACTCCGAGGATGATTTGACCTTTTGGTCAAGTTGGAGGGCAAGGATAGAAACAGCTTCGCACGATGTTAGATCGACAGCCGAGGTAAAAAATGGGGCTTATAAGACCATAACGATGAAGAAGAGCGATAAGGCTGTCAGGACAATCTCCCATGTCCATGAGAGAAGTTTGATTCCCCATGAGTCTTGATCGATGAAGCCAGGACTAAGACGAAAGCCTTTGGTGTGCTCCTCATCTTTGGGATCTGACGTCACGGTATTACTTCCTTCGATATTGGGGCTCCGTCCCCACTCGGTCCCAGAATCGTTGTCGTGTTCACCATCAGTTTGTGATCGTTGTGCGGTTGACTGGTGTTCAAGGTCTGGAGTACCTTCGGTCTCCACGTTGCTCACTGAATGATAGGATGCTGTTGTGGCCATGTTGTTAAACGCTCAGTCGCAGCTAGTGAAGAAGTAATGGAGCATAGAAAGTCGGGGAATCAAGTTTTGTTTGAAGTCGCATGCGAGGGTCTATATGCGTAGATCACGTATCACGTAAATAGCGACGTCGATTTATCACAGGCGCTCTCGTTAGATAGCATGCGCATCGCTTCAAATATTAGTCTGGAGCATTGCCGTGAAACCACACTGACGCATTGTACGAGGTCAGCAATTATGCAGCGTTTCACACAGGAGATCACCACATCATGTCTTCGACCCAATACTCATGTTTCTAACGCAAAAGAACCCGACATATATAAAAGGATTGCATCACCTATCGACTGTCTGAAGAAAGGTATCTAAGCAATCTATAATACCAAGATGTTAAAGCTATAGGCAAGCTTCTTGGTAGCATCTAATTTGACCACACGGCAGTATATCAAAAGTTTGTTATTTGCTTCAATTTTGCAAAAGACCTACGAAAATTCGTATTCATTCCGGCTCCCTCTTTCGCAACCGATGGCATCTTGTACCATGAGGCTGGAATGCAGAGATGAACAGTGCTGAAAGCTGATGTGGTACGGGGATTCAAGCAGTCATCCTTGGCAAATGAAGGCTGAGAGCTCAAGGCAAGCACAGCATATCCTTACACAGGCACGGCAGGTAGGATCTTCCCCCCTTCGCGAATATTTGGCTGTCACCCTGATGACCTCCTCAATTATCTGTTACTTCGATGTACTAATCTCCAGAGACATGCTCACTAATCGTGGCTGCGGAAGGCTCTTCGTCCTCTCTGTCGTGTGACACTCGGCTGACGGCCAAGCCACTCAGTGGCTGAGGACTCCGCAAACTCCAGCCTGCTGTGCTACTTTACTTCCCGAGTCCGAGTGCATGATGCACAAAGTTTGATGGCGCGGGCGGAAAGACCTTTCCACGATGGTATTTCAAAGATCGAGTTAGTGGGCTCGAGGGTGGTACAAGAATTGTGATCTTGGTCAAATGCCTCAAACGATAAGAGCAGAACAAAAATTCATGCATCATAGACCGTCGTAAAACGAGTGGATGCCAAACATCACTTACGAAAAGTCTGGTAGAGCATATCAAAAGTATATTTGAAGCACAACTTGTTCACGCGAGGGAGGATGCGAGTGGAATTATGTTCAAATTTGTTGTCAAGACATTCGGATCGGTTAAAATTTTGTATGAATCGGAGAAGCTACAATCCAGAGCTAGCTGTGTGATATACCTAAGCTTGAGAAACATCGACGGACCCTTCACTATCCTCCAGTCTGTTCTTAGCCCGAAGAATTTCGCGAAGTGTCTTGTGAGTCGAAATCAGAGTTTCGTCCCCCGTAGTCGAGATGTAGGGCGAGTTGGTGGGCTTGTCCGACGAAACCCTCGTGACGAAGTTCTTGGGCTGGTCGTCCACGACGAGACGGAGTAGGTCGGGTCGAGAGTAGTGGCCCACGCAGTCGGTCAGCGTCTTGGCATAGTCTATCTTGTCCAGGTCAATGTCGCTGTAAATAAGGCCGTCGTAGGTGGGCTTCGTGGGCTCCGTAAGCTGACGGCCGTCAGGACCAAAAACGGCGGCCCGGCCTCCGCCACCACTCAGCATGAAGCTGTCCATGTCGGCGCTGCCCTGACCCTCGCTGTTGAGGCGGGCGCCCTCGGCAGACAGCGGCTGGTTGGTGCAGAGGACGTATACGGCGCCCTCGAGGGCGTACATGCGGCTCGCCGTGAGCTCATTGGCCTCGCCGAACAGCGACCACGGCTCGATGCCGCCGTTGAATTCGCCGTTGAAAGGCCATGCGGCGATATGCACCTGCTCACCCTGGGAGTAGGTGTGGTACTTGAGAAGAGGCTGCAGATGCTCTAGATATGGGGTCAGCGGGATGGCAATTCAAAGAAGAGACCCGGGGAAAGAACCTACCCCAACAATTCAGCATTCCAATCTTGCCCAGAGGCGTGTCGACGACAGTGGTCAGGGAGTCGCCCGTGGCGTCACCAAAAATGGTCCGCTCGACATGGGTCGGCTTTGTCTTTCTCCGATGAAGCAAGATATTGCCTTCGGAGTTTATAAGCACCTGTGCCAGGTACAAGCTAGCACCTACACGCTCGCTGAAGCCAAAGGCGACATAGATCTTGTTCTCAGCGGCGGCCTGGCGGATCCGCAGCATCTCGTCCCCGTACGCCGTGATGCTGTTCTGCATGTACTTCTGGACGAGCGGGATGTTCTCCTTGTAGTTTCCCGACCAGAGAAAGTTGGGGTACCCGGGGACCCAGACCTCTGAGAATGCGATGAGGGACGCGCCGTTGCTGCGGGCTTCCCTGATGAGCTTGAGCGACTTCTCGATAGTGGCGTCCTTGTCGAACCAGCAGGGCTCCGACTGACAGACGGCGGCTTTCCATTGACGAATAGACATGTTGAAGGTGGTTTCAAAGGGTTACAATAAAATGAGAAAGACAGGCCGGAGGATAGCGGCAATGCTGGGTGTAGAATTCAAGGGGAGACTTCAAACGGCTGGAAAAGACGATCTTTTATGTTGCCGGATCTCTTCGCAGTTGTCGCACCGTGATTGATTAGATATCATCTTTGCAAGTAATACTATCTCATCTTCCTCCCCTATCAGAGTACTTTGGTTCTTGTACCGATAGAACCTTTGTGAGAATAGAAACATTGGGCGCGGGGAAGAGATGTCACCTCTTCTTGCAGACATTAAAGCTAGGAAGAGATATCATGCACGGTTGAATCTGGGTGTTGCTGATCCGGATAACCGCTCGGGTAATGCATGCCCGGATAGCGTTTGTGGGGCATGGCTTATGCAGGGCCCACTGCGGGGAAGCTTCAGAGAATCTGGGGTAGAAGTATGTCGGCTCAGCATGGGATCGGGTTCCTAGTTCTTCCCGGTCACACTGGACTGGGGTTTTCTCTTGCCTTAGGTGATAGGATGATAACCCGTTCATGACTACTAGGTACGGACACGAAGCCAGCTGCTTGAACATATTGCACACATAAGCCAGTAACAACAAGAAGATCAGTCAACCTTGCCAGAGAGCAAGGTACAGCAACCCATCCATTGCCAAACTACGACCAGTGAAACAAAGCTAGTTCTCAATGCTGAGTCTGCAGGGTTGCCCACTTCGTGATACTCAAGCCATATAGAATGACGACCAATTCACTCTGCAGGGTGATCCAAGTAAGTACCCAGGTCAAGCCAACTGTCCGCCGATTGCTGAGCCGTCGCTTCCGATAGAAGGCGGGAAAAGGAGTCTTCGCCATCCCCACCGGGCTGATAGGTGGCTGTCTCATCCAAAACACAACTTCCGTCTGTGCTAGTGATCTCGACGTCCCACCGTCTAGCGATCTGTTGCAACGCAGATATGGCACGCTTGCTCCAGCCCCACGCGATACTCATCCTCTGCAGGCTCTCGAAGCAAGTCTCAAGGTCCTTCAGAGACTCTTTTCGAAGATCATTGTCCCCCGACGTGGCATCTGCCAAGAATATCACAGTAGCCGTAAAAGCGCAGTGTACCGCAGAGATTGGTATTGTGCGCTTGGTCATCTCATCAGCGACAACGGAAGTTCAGTAAGAGACCGCATACTTACGAGAGAAAAGTTTTTCAAATATATCCGAAAGATCCTGGCTATCCATTGAGCAGCTTTACGGCACGCCACCGTGTGGACATCTGATTGGCTTGCTGCGGACAAGGCGAACCCCCGGGACGAATCAGTCGATTTGAGGAAGGGACGATGAAGTAGGATCATGATGACGTGATATTGAAGAATGCGTTGTGTTAGTCAAACGTACAAAACACGGCATGGTATGAAGTTTTGCTTACTGAAGTTGATACACATGCGGAGGCGAAGGGTGACGTGAGGACTTGGAAATTTTTAGACACGGGGGCAAATCGTCTAAAACCTTGAGAAGCTTGAAATGACCTCCCGACACCACGCTTTCGGTTTGAACCCTGGTTCTATCGTCTGACGGAGTGTAGCTGCATGGAAATGTGTGTTAGCGTATCATGTTGACACATGTCTCCAGAAAGTGCACTAGGTTGAGATTTGAGGCTTACATAGCATCGAGAATGTCGCCCATGGCTCCCAAGAGTTTGCAGGTATAGATAGCATTCGTGATACTGTGAGATGCAGCGGTTGAAATGGGATTGACCAGGCTGGATGCCCCTTGCCATGGTTCCAGCTCCTCCACGCAGCAGGTGTTCGGCAGCTCAGCTGTGACGTCCCGCGCCTGGATCATGGACGGCCTCCCCAGACCAATGTTGAAGAGCCTAACTCCAGGTCAGCCAGTTATAGCTACATCGCTGAGAAATAAACGAGAGCAAATACTTATCAAGCACGTAGCATCCCCACCATGTCACGTTTCTCACTTCAGCCTCTTCGGCGCTGAGTATTCCCTCCGAGAGGCACAGCGAACAGTCCAGGTGCATACCCAAGTTCATAGCCATGCGTACACACATACCGCAGTACATCCACCCGAGGGCCTCCTTGTCGACGGACATCTCGCGCAAGCACGTCAAGGCTAAAGCCTGGACGGTGGTCGGGTTTGGCGCTTCACACTCATAGTGCAGCATTACCCGGGCCTGGGCCGCAAATGCATCTCCCGCGGTATTTGCGTCGCTCGGGTTAGTCCTGACACGTACATCGTCGGTGTACCTCGAAGCAAGTGCCAAGATGGCGTAAAATAGGGCAGGAGAACAAAATCGCCCGAAGGGGCTGCCCGGGTGGCTGCTCAGATCCTGCAGAAAGGGCGCTTTGCAAACGATGTACTGCCACGAGTTCTGCCACTTCCAAAATAAGTCCAGAAGGTGCGTCTGAAGGTCTTGGGACACTACAACGAGTCCCACTTGGGTCTTGGCAGCCTCATAGCCTCTGTGCTGCATCTCGATGTTCGACGTTGAGCGGATCGTCGCGCTCCTCAAGAGGTTCAAATTGCTCCGGGAGCCAAAGTAACAGAGCTCCCCGCCATCCCCAATCGCAAAGCGCCCGAGGATATCAGTGACTTCTTCCATCGCCACTGACATTGTCCCGGATGTGCCGTGACTGGTCGAGGACTCCGGTGACATCCGTTCATCTTCGTCGCCGGCTTCCCGGGGTTCGGTATCAGCAGCGTGGGCAAAGTCACCGCCCTCACCGGAGCCCCGCAATCGGGCGAGTTCGGCTTCAAGGCTCTTCACACGAGCCTGCAGCGCAGCCACGTATTCCTTCTTCGGGGGTCTGCACACGACCTTATCAGCCCCTCCTCCACCTGACAACAAGACAGGTCCACCGGAGCCGGGAAAAGGACTTACTTGCGATTATTCGGGGCGTGTACGTATTCACAATCAGACTCCCGGTATTTGCATGCTGAGCATTGGATAGGGTTGCCGTCGCACTGGAAGCATGGCGATTAGAGTGGGTGAGAATATGGCGCTCATGGCAATCGCTCTACCTTGGTTCTTTTCGCCCGGCAGGCCAAGCAGGCTGTTAGGACCCGTTTTCTCTGGTTAGACTGGGTGTTCATCGGAAATTGCCCTGTGCAGTAGTGAGTTTTGGGGTTCGGATCTGGCACGGAGTGAGGTTTATGGCCGTGTCGATATAGGCCGTCAAACGAATAGTTGGAAATGTCACCGTATCCGGGTATTAAATATCCGGAAACTGGGCACGTGACCAAACGCTGCTGTTGGTTTCATTTATCAAAGCCGACAGCTCACAAGTTGCATATGAGACTCGTTCAAGAACTACGGTGAAGATTCACGGTATTTAAATGCATAGAGAGTCTCACATGTATGGTCGGTGGTGCGCACTACTGAGCCTTGCCTATTCCCCCCAAGCACCGTCGAATGGAGAGCGCATACTCGTTGCCGCCGAGGCCCTCGCCCCAGTTCTTTAGCTGGTATCCTACAGAATTTACCAAATACTCCTTGCACAAACAAAAATCACCATCGAGTTTGGAGACCAGTGCCCAGTCAGGCGGTTCATACGCCCCCCCCCTTAGCCAACTCAGCTCGGAAGGGGCCCAAGGGGTGTTGTTTTACACTTCTTCACCCGCTCTCATCCACAGCACTTCAGAACCCATTCCACACCACCCGCCTTCCAAAGAAATGACTACCCACTCGCCTCGTCTGTCGTAGCCACCGTAGCCGCCCGGCGCTCCACCTCCCTCATGAACTTCCTCACCTCGGGGTCCAGCGGCAGCGTCCTCCTCATCTTGGCCTTGTTCCCGATGACCTTGAGACCGCCGAGCGATCGCGCGCGGCTCAGGGCCACGTACGTCTGCCTCCCGTCCCAGACGTCCTCCAGGTTGACGATGACGCGGTCGAGCGACAGGCTCTGGCTCTTGTGGATGGTCATGGCCCAGCCCGGGACGAGGGGGATTTGCGTGCGCGCCGAGTACCCCGTGAGGACCTTCCTCGACCCGTGGGGGGTTTGCTCCATCGCTGTTTCGATGTCGTGCATGTTGCAGTAAGGCACGATGACGCGTCGCTGGCCGTTTGCGAATATGACTTCGGGGACTTTGGGGACGAGGATTAGCGGTTCGTGGCTACGGCTTTCTGGGGAATCCGGGACATGGGGAGGACTCACAACCCTCGACGCCTGATGCGCCATTGATGTAGTCGGTCATTTGGTCGTATCTAGCGCATGCGAGCTCGTAGGCGTAGTGGTCTCCCTTGTAACTCTTCTCTTCGGGCATTTTGGGTTTGTTGTGTTCGTGCAGCGTCCGTACGAAACGGAGGAGCTTGCCCTGGCTGCCGTTGCAGAGGCCATTCTCGACGTCGAGCTGCCAGATGTTCGTTAGTGCGTTGTTCTAGCTTACCTTGAGACGAGGTGCGCGATGGCGCGGCGAAGGGGGAGAACTCACGTTAGCCAGCAGCACAACCGGCATGCCGGCTTTGAGGGTCAATTGCTTGTCGAAACGGTGCTTGTCGTTGTTGTCGCCAAGGTCTCTAGGGTAGTCCACGGAAAGTAATTTTTCTGGCCGGCTGGGAAGCTTGTTAAGCTCCCGGTTGTTGTGATCCTTGGCTTTCTGCTTATGGCTGAACAGGGCTATGCCATCCCTGACTTGGCGAGGTTGCAGCAGGACGTCAAGATCGGCGTCAGTTGTGTGGCCGAGGCGGATGTTCTGGAGCATCGTGATGAATCGCTCATCGGTTTGCCGATGGATCTTGGTTAGATGGATGTATCTATTTGCCAAGCATGTCAGGTCGACGTCCTTTGTCTGTACGGATCATGATACTTACTGGAAGTTGCACTGTTCCCAGGTCCGCGAGTTGAAAGCCCATTTTTCGACATCCCGAAAGCTGGGGTGCTCCCTGTTTCGAGGACAGAAGTGCAGGTTGCCTTTCTTGTCGAAGTCCATCTTCCCACACGGCGTCGAAGTACCGCCAAACTGGTCATACGCCACCTCCTCAGTGCAGTAGCTGAACGGTAGCACCGGGGGCAGCTGGCAAAAGTCGCCGACGGCGATGACCTGAATGCCGCCGAATGGTCGCTCCACCGATTCCGCGGTCTGGGTTTCGACGACATTGGGGTAGCTGCGGAGGAATGCTTCCCGTCGGAGCGCAATTAGGACGTCGGAGAGGCGGTTGAAGAACTCGCTCTCGACCATGCTGATCTCGTCGATGATGAGGACGTCGGTGCCCATGATGCGCTCCCACACGCTCCTGCGACGGGCCTCTTGGATGAGGGTCCTGAGTGTCTCCGCCGGGGCGGTGGTGCTCCATCCGGCGTAGGAATATGTTGTCCTGCCGTTGATGTTTGTGGCGGCCTGGCCCGTGGGTGCGACGAGGTAGACGGTCTTCTCCTGAGCGTCGAAGGCCTTGTTGAGGGCCTTCACCAGGACTGATTTGCCGCAGCCGCCGGATCTGAGAGGGTCAGTCAGGCCTGAATGTCCTTCTCCTTAGTGATGGACCTACCCAGTGATGAAGAGATTTTGGCCCTGCATGGCCAGATCCAGGGCGTGCTGCTGTTCAGGACAGAGGGGTAGCTCTGGGGCCTCCTCTACGACTGGCGGGTCTTCCCCGCCTCCCCGGCGATCATTTTCGCGTTTAATATACTCGTTCGTTTGACTGGAGTAGCCACTGAGAGGTATAAACCCCTCAGCTTCTCTCATTGCTTCTTCCTCGTCCTCAAAAGCCCCCTCCCCTTTGATTGCGGCCTCATAGAAATCCTGCCCCTCTTCGGTTGCCTCCTGATCGGAATAATCCTCCACCATGATTGGTGACTGAGGTGTACCAGATTGGTAATTTCCCTCGTGTTTGACCTTTTTAGATCGATGTAAGTCAACGAAAAAGGCAGCTGAAGTCTCCGGGTGAGGCTCGGGCTCCTCCTCCCTCGGCCGCTTGACCGGGGCAGGCGCCGACGCAGGTGTAGGGGCGAGTACGGTGGATTGACTTGGATGTACCGGGGGATAATTCAACAAAGAGCCATCGTCGATCTCGAGGGCCAGCCCCTCTACTAGAAGATTCATCTAATGTGTGTAAGTCTCCTAGCTCACGAATATGGAGGTATTCACTTACAGCCTGGTCGAAAGTCGAAGCAGTAGTGTCTGGGTTGATTCCCACATGTTAGCATGGTGGGGCTGACGGACCACACAGCCAGTCCCTGCACGTACTTTTGTTCTTGCAGCCTTCAGTTTGGACCTTGGTATCGTTCCAGTTCGTGAAGATGCCGTACTTCCTGCCGTGCGCCTGAGGTCCTCGCAGGTTGTAGACCACGTAGTATTTGGGGGTCCACCGATCATCGAGCACGACGGGATTGCGCTCGTCGTCAATGTAGTCCATCGCGGCCTGCCTCGCCTGCTGGGATGCAGGGCGCGGGTTTCCGACCAGCGCATCCCGGGCCGGCTTAGACTTGACCATGGATGTGAGTGTAGGCGGTGCGATAGTTGTCGTCGAATCTCACCATGAGAACGCGATAAAGGGGCCGCGACAGAAGGTTTCACCGACTCCACATCACGTATTAGGTAAGCAAACTCTGCTCGCGCATTGGCCAGTGGGCTTCTCTAACCCATCTCCCCCATAATATTTGCTTTTTCTAGTTTGCCCTTTGTTGTAAAGGCATTTTTCCTTATTTGACGCCAATGGGTAGGCCGGGTCTGTAGAAACTTTTTCGACCCCAAACGGCAGTAGTCGCTGCTCGATTCGCTTCCTACTTGATTTCCTTCTCGATACTATCCGTACAGCGAATATAAAGCTGCTGTGGCAGTTCTTCGAAAAGCTTGGCATAGGTCGCCACAATTCTCTTGAGACCGCCTAATTTTCTTGTGTCTGCGCGGCTATATTTACTGTGGACTTAATTGCTCCTGTACGAAGACGACGATAGTAACAACAACGATAGTAACAACGACGACAGTAACAACGACGATAGCGATAACGACGACAGTAAAGTAGAAAAAGTAGTCGGTATAGCACAGGAAAATAGGCGGTCTCATTCTCTTAATCACCTCTCCTTCTGGCAATCGCGATTCATCTTGATGTACTCAGCCGTACGTGAGCCTTAGCGAGGAAGATCCATACATGGCCTTTTCGGTCACGCAGACCAGATCTTGCTAAACTTCAAGCCATCCACTCACTATTCAAGTAAGGTTACTCAGAGCATTGCAGAATCGCGTGACTGCCTGTCCTTTCAACCCGTCGTGCCACTGCACTGGCCCACTTAGAAGTGATAAGAACTGCCGTCCAAGAACTCACTTAACAGCCGTTATGCATTAAAATTCTAAATGGACTCGGTTGTGAGCTATTATGGGAGCTCGTTCTCCAGTTTCTCCATCACGGCGTACGCCTCTCCAGCGACACGGCGAGACTCTGCGTCCAGTCCGTCGGCGTCTCTAAAGACTGCAAACCTCCCTTTCCATAGCTGCCACCGCCCGGAGCTCAACCCATCCGTTCCCTTGAGCATCCGCCCCTGCTTCCACAAAATCCCTGCAGTAGCCCCGGAGATTTGCTGATCCCGTCCGTACAGGAGGTGCCCAGCATGAATCATCCATACCGCAGCGCGTATGAGTTTGTGAGCTATATCTTTCCCTTCCCTCTGATTTTTTAGAGCAGGGCCTGTATCATTGGCGGTTGTGTCCTCCAACGCGCCCACCAAAGCCCAGATGGCGTAGACTTCGAAGGGCAGCTGGCAAAGCCCTGCAACCCGTGCTGCGTAAGCATCGAGATTGACGCGTCGACTCTTCTTGAGATCTTCTGAGGATGCTGCAGAGTCGTCTTTGTGTTGATCACCGTCAGCAAACGAGGATTCAATATTGTGTGATAGTATCACGTACCATCATCAAGCTTCTCGCGAAAGGTGTTGCCAAACATGGGTAGATTGGCCCACAGCTCAACAGTGCTCGCATCACCACTGCCCCATTCTTCGCCCAAGGAGACTTTTCTGGGCGGCAGGTCAATGAGACTCCTGATCACTGCCGCCAATCGGTCTTGCTCCTCGCTGTCATAGGGAAGCTGGCGTGAGAGGTCGTGGACTAGATTCCAGAACCACCACAAGAAACCGCCTGCTGAACCCGCTGCTGTGCATTCTCGTTTGCAGAGTGCGTCAATCGCCAGTGCTGCCTCTTTTTGGGATGAGGGACTGTTTGAGGCAATGGCAGGATTGAGGATATCAATGACCTCACCAGCGTAGTCGGGAGCGCCCGGATCCTCTAGCTGTAGTTTCACTGGCGACATTGTGACGTCTCGGGGTTGAACGGTCGGAAAGTTTGGCTGCTGGTTTAGCAGAAAACAATTGAGAAATAGCGATGATAGTTCCTGATGTCAGGCGTGTTCGAAGCATATGCTGAAGAAGGTGTTTGTCGCCGAGGAAGTGATCAGTAAAGTCAGGATCTATTAATATCAGGCGTGCGGCTCCATTTGGGGGCCTTGGCTCAGGCCGCTAGTCGAGATGAGCAAGATACGCCGAGTGAGTCAGTGACATTGAGACATCTCGAAAGCGCCAGCCCAGAAACATCGAGATAACAGGGAAACTGCCAGTCGACGAGAAATAAAGCGAGATCGGACGAGGCCTGGAGTTCCAGGCCGTCAATATGAAAATTGAGTAGGGATCACGTCTTCCGGCATTTGACTTCGGATGATGCGGATCATTCATCAGCCCCCAAGAAACAGCGCTCGACAACCTCTTAGCCTCAATTTAAGGTTTCGGCTCTGAACCGTCGGCCTGACCGGCAGATACGTCCGGGGTATGGCACAGCCGCTGTCCAGGCCCACGGCATCGTTCAAATGTTCAGATACTGGGGACCTTTGACAGACTTGGCGCCAAACCTTAAGAGCTCAGCTTACACCTGGAGCTGTTGCCGCGATCCGTGGCGGGCCATCTTTCTGAAACGCACTTACATGATTGGCGAAAGACATCACGACATTGTTCTGGAATAATGGGAGCGGCCCGAGAGAGGGGTTCGCGAGAATTCGCCCGTCGGTCAGTCAAAGTGAGTTTGTGAAGAACTACGGAGCAACCGACCAGTGTTCACCAGAAATGTCATCATTGAGGACCATTGCACTGCATTTCATCAACTCTTTCTTCAGTCTGCTTACTTACTCCAGTCGAATTACAAACACTACCCGTGAAGACATGTCTGGAATCGAACTGCTTGTCCACTCTTCAGCGAATCGTCTGAGTGCAGGGACTAGATAGAGCATAAAATTGTTCTAACCGTGAGACATTGCCATTGTAGGAAATCGCTCGATTTCGGGGCAAGATACAAATAAAAACCAGACAACTCTTGTGCTGCCCGACGGTGTACGGTTAACACGGTGAGAAAACAAAACGATGGCGATGTGACACAACCTAGGAATATTCTGCCCGACAGGCCCACCAGTTCGTGCCAAGGCCCAGGAGTAATGCCCGCTGATTTATGCTGGCACTTGAACTTCTATCACATCGACTTAACTTACAAGGGTGGTTTCATCTGAAAATAGTTTCAAAATGGACTCAACATGGGCTGTGAACCAAGACTAGAGCTCATTTGTGTGGCTCGGCATGGCATGACGAGACGGACTGGCGGTCTTTGGCATCACGAAGGTCTCGTCGAAGAAGATAAATAGGCCTCTAAGTCACCCGTTCAATGCACTCATCCAGCTCATCATTCACTCACAACTCAGACAACTTCACCACACTCCTTTTCTTCACTCGAGACACTCTCTTACGACACAATCATCACACTCTTTCGTCTCCAACGACATCAACACTCATTCCAATAATCAAAATGATTTCCTTCACTCATCTTCTTACTCTCCTCGCCGCTTCCGTGGCTGTTGCCTCCCCGGTCTCCTTTTCTGACAACGGAGAGGGCATCATTGAGATCCGTGCCGGCGATGTAAGTTGAACCCAGCGCCTTCGCCCATCATTCATCCATGAGATTGCTAACCTCGCCACTCCAGGACGTCTACGTCTGCAAGGCCGGCTCCAGCAACAGCGGCGCCTTGTACGGCGAGATCAAGCTCGCCGACGCCATGCGCGACGTCGCCGCCGCCAAGACCACCAAGGGCTCCAGCGGCTACCCCAAGCCCTTCGGCAACCTGGGCAACGTCATGAACTTTGCTTCAGGCTGCTCCAGCGATGTCTGGGAGCTCCCCGTCCTGCCTGGCGGCAAGGCCTACAACTACAACGCCAAGAAGGGCGGCAACTCTCCCGGCCCCATTCGTGTCTTTTACAACAAGAACCTCCAGTTCTGCGGCATCGGCGCCAAGGAGAAGGCCGATGGTAGCGGCAACCCCCACAACTGCGCTCTCAAGCCCAAAGCTGAGGAAAAGGGAAAGGGCAAGGGCAAGGACAAGGGCAAGGGAAAGGGAAAGGCCTCTGCCTAGACGCATACTTGACTATGCATCCTCAATGGCCACCGTGGCTACACTAGATTTGGCACTGCTTCATTGCTGATAGACTTCGGTTTGGTTTTGTTTTGACTTATAGACTGGGATAGATACAAGGTGCTCTACTTAAAATAAGAATCCGGATTTCTTACAGGACGCAAGTAGGTTGTCAAAACCGTTAAATGCAAGCAATGCACGAAGCTCTTTACACCTTTCACATACTGACCCGAGGATGACTCTCACAGTGATTGCACAATTCTCTGACGGTCAATTGGACTCAAAAGCAGAATATGATGCTGATGTGACACCTAGGGAGAGAAGGTTGCGCAATGACTGCGTGCAAGTGGGCCTGGATTGGATTGAATAATAATGACACAAGGTAACCTAGCCTCTCTCTCATATCATAGATAGAATGAATTAAACCCAGAGACCATTGAACGCTTCGAATTCTTCTTATTACTATTGAAACTTATTTCCGTACGTGCATCATCTAGACGTACTCAAAACACATGAGATCGCTCCTAATATCCATCGCATCTCTGATTGTAATATTCTCAGCCAGACCAGGCATCCACATGACGTGATCCAGCGTCGTAACGTTGCCACTGTCTCCAAAGTACGGCACGAAGGCTTCGATAGGGAGGATGATGGGCTGAGCATCAATGAAGATTTGCCCGTTTGCCACATTCGGACCACCCATAGCATACAGACGGGACGTCAAGTTGGCTGCCTGCCAGTTCCACCACAGGCGGTCGAAGTTAGTGTGATGTAGCCAGAAGATAGGGTCGGCCGGGGATCTGGCGTGGTCTCTCATCTAGCGCTTGGTTAACTATGACATCAGCCGTTGTCTGGAACACCCGACTTACAATACCGCCCACACCAAGGTGCCCACCGCTGTGCGGCGTGTTTCCCAAACAGTTCATCATCTCGGCATAGTCGTCAGACTCCACTGCCATGCATGGCTCTACGACATTCTTTTGTGACACGGTGTCGAAGGCAGTCTGGTTCAGCCCGCGAGTGAGAGAGCTTCCGGTCTCGTTGCGCGTCAGTTGCGT